GGGTGCCTGGCCAGCCTGGGTGAGGGGCTGATGGCTGTTTTCAGGCTGGCCACACCCCCTTTAGAATGGGGGTCCCCACTGGGGTGCCTGGCCAGTCTGGGTGAGGGGCTGAGGGCTGTTTTCAGGCTGGCCGGGACTGAAGCTCCCAGCCTCTCCTTTTTTTCTGTTTTTTTTTCTTTCTGGGATTTATTTACCTTCTATAATTAAAACATTGTTGCCGTCACTGGCGCTCCCAGCTCTGAGGCCGCGGCTGGCTGAAAGCAGGTATCTGGGGTTTGTTTAGCTTCTATAATTGAAACATTGTTGCTTTCGGGCTCAGAGCTGGGCCGTGGCAGGCGGGGAACCTTGGCTTCCTCCATCACTGGAGCAAGCAAGCCTCCTGCTCACTTCAGCTGCGTGGCTGCTGGCAGCCATCTTTGTTGGCAGTTAATTTGCATATTGCCCTGACTAGCCAATGGGAAGCATAGCGGAGGTACAGTTAATTACCCTTTTTGTCTTTTATTAGATAGTATTTTACTATTTATGATAAATATTTTACTATTTATGATAACTACATTTCTGGCAATATCTTTATGCTTAACTTTATCCATATTTAGGGTTTATTTTCTGTGAACGTCTTTACAATAAATATGATTTCTGAGTCAAAGAGGATGCCCATTTTAAAGACTCCTGATACATAGTGTTCAACTGCTTTCTAGAAGCATTGTGCCAATATATGATGCCATCAACAGAACAAAATTAGACTGCCCATTTCATGGAACCCTCAACATCACTGTGTTATCATTTAAATTGTTTCCACTTATGGTTATGGTTTATTGTATTATCAATATTGCATTACTGTATACCAGTGGTTCTCAACCTTCTGGCCCTTTAAATACAGTTCCTCATGTTGTGACCCAACCATAAAATTATTTTCGTTGCTACTTCATAACTGTAATGTTGCTACTGTTATGAACTGTAATGTAAATATCTGATATGCAGGATGGTCTTAGGCAACCCCTGTGAAAGGGTCGTTCGACCGCCAAAGGGGTCGCAACCCACAGGTTGAGAACCACTGCTGTATACCTTTGTATATAAGTTAATGGGAGAAATTCTGCTTTTTCCTCCTTGTTATATCTTTTGCAATGTACTGAAGCCAAATATTTTCCTCAGCAACTTATATTTCACATAACAAAAATGTTAACCATAGTTTTTTTATATTTGCTACAGATATTTTTCCTTATTTAAGTATGCATTTTTATTTTTACCACCATTTTTTACTTTAGTGCATTGTTATTTTTATCACCATTTTTTACTTTAGCATTTTTTATGTAGTCAAATTTATAATGTTCTCTTTGAAATTTTGTCTCTCTTTTAAACTAAAAAATTCCCATTCCAGATTTTTAAAAAATATTTTTATTGATTTTTATAACTATTTAAAAGCAGATCCTTACTAGTCTTTTTTGTGAGAGGAAGGGAGAGGGAGAGAGAAACATCTATGTGAGAACTGAACATAGATAGGCTGCCTCCTGCATGCCCCATACTGGGGATTGAGCCCGAAACCCAGGCATGTGCCCTAACAGGAAATCGAACTGGCAATCTTTCTGTGCACGGGACAACACCCACAAGGGCCAGAGCTTCCATTCCAGATTTTTGAGATAAAGTCCTAATTCTATTTTTTTTTAATTAAAAAAATCTTTATCAGGAATTTATTTCCATTTACAGTGTCTTTTCTTTTTGTCCTCAAGTTATTATCCAATTATTCCAGTATTTATTGAGTAATCTCTCCTGAGTTCTGATATCTTCTATCAAATTTATAATAGAGATCCTTATTAAATATTGGTATAATTATATTTCAACACCGTTAAAGCATTATTCCACAAACCCCAGAATTCAGTATAAGAAGTCTATTTTTAAAATCCCAGCTTGCTCAGATATCCAGGCTTAGGCAATTAAGATATAGGATTAAAAGTATTCCTGCTCAGCCATGCACTGAGAGGTCGTGGGTTCCATTCCATCAGGGCACATGCCTGAATTTCAGGCTCCATTCCCAGTAGAGGGTGTACAGGAGTGGGCCAATTGATGTCTTGATTTTTCTCTCTCTCCCCCACCTCCCTTCCTTTGTCTGTCTCTCTCTAAAACAAACAAACAAACAAACAAAAACAACAACAAAAGAACTTAAAAATAAAATTCCCGCTCATATACTCTTGGGAGAGCATTATGAGCATTCAGGTAGAGGCACAATTCTGATGAACAGTCTAACAATTTTAAAAATCTAAACTTTCCATTTATAACAAACAACTTTTGTTAATAGATTTGTAACTACTTTAAAACAGATACTTACCAATCTTTTTTGATTTAACACTTGCTCTAAAAGTGTAGGTCTTGCAGGACGATCCCCCAAAGCTCCTGTTCTTTGTTTAACAATTGAGAGAATGCTATCTGCACTTTCCTGGAATAAATTATAAAAATGCAAATAGGATTAACATTTACCAAAGTAATTCATGATTACAGCCATTTCAATGATGAAGTAAACAGGTCTTTGATTCTCTTCCTTTTTGTCCAGTACCTGGACAAGTAATAGGCAAAATGTTGACAATTAAGTTAATGTAACACTCCTCACCCCCTCTCCCTCTAGGATTTCAAACCTGGGATCTTCAGTATCTTTAAGGGTCTTAAAATTAATAGTGGGGCAGAAGCGGTGGGGAGGGGTACAAAGAGTTACTTGTGAGCTATTGTCAATCTTATAAAAAATGCCTAGTACAAATTGAACATTCTCTTCATAGAAAGCTATCCAGGCCAAAACAAAGTCTGCCTGCCTTTGGATTGAATATATGAACTCAAAGGCAACTTACATATTAGACGTTCTAACTGGCACTTTTCTGTCCAAATAACAACAAAAAATAAGGGGGGAGGCAGTAAAATATTGCTTAAAGCAACAACTGACAGACAAAACTTTCAAAATTTGAAAGTTTTAAGGAGAAAATGACAAACTGGTTTTGAAAAAGACTGGAAACACTAGCATAAACAAAATAGGTGAGTCCTAAAATTACATTATGACATCATTACCCAAACAAAACCAGTAGCACTTCCTACCAAATATGTACCCATAGTTATTTGATAGAATCTTAAACACATAAATTTTCCTGGCATAACAAAATACGGTGTATTGTTCTAGTTGACTCAAACATTCTCAATACATGATATAGTATGGACCACATCCAAAAATTCTGACTAAACAAATATAAAACTATAAATGTCTTATTGTATAGTCATGCCTACTGTGAGTTTACCTATCTCTTTGCTCTTCATTTAGGTTATCAAAACTGTTTTGTTTTTTTTTCTCTTGGGCTTTACTCTACTGGCCTCTGAATTGTCTATTAGAATATCCCTTACTTTTTTCATTATGAGAAGTTTACCAACCTGTTTTTAAAATGTTCAATCCCCCCTTTTCTGGTGGTGACAACCTCCCCATGACAATATGCCTCTCGCTAATGAACTCCTTTATCCCTTTCCAGAAGAGGAGAGGAGGAAACACAATAAGTCCCTGGTGCAGAGCCCCAATAATTACTTCATGGATGTGAAATGCCCAGGATACTTTAAAATCACCCCTGTCTTTAGCTATACACAGTAGTTTTGTGTGTTGATTGCTCCACTGGTCTCTGTCAGCCTACAAGAGAAAAAGCAAGGCTTACAGAAGGATGCTCCTTCAGAAGGAAGCAGCACTAAAAGCACCTTGAATCAAGAAGAGTGGGGTACCATCCCAATGAACACATTCTGGATTTTTTAAAAATGTTCAATCCCTAAACAATTTAGGCTTCAAAATGTAAAAACAAAAAAAAAAATAACTATAAAAAGAGTATTCTAATACCCAGGAAAAGCAAAAGTAACTTCTCCCTTCCTCTTTCCTTAAAGGGTTAACTTTATCTATGGTACTAATTTTTTTTTCATTAAACTTATTGGTAAAACATTGGTTAATCATCCTATATAACAGGGGTGGGCAACCTTTTTGTGAGTGCATGCCAAAACCAGCAAAATCTCTGACTCAAAATTCTTCTGCGTGCCAACCCTAATTTTTTGAGAACATGTTACGCCTACTTGATATCTCTTAAGGTGTGTACGTATGTGAAGAACCTTGAAGAAATAATAAAATTCATTCGAGCGACAAAAACACAGTATATGATGATGAAAAATACATTTATTTTTTAATGTATACATGTACACTGATAGTCCGACAGAAAACTTTATGACTCCGTTTGATATTATCAGTGGGACTTTTGCTGCTGCATCACTGATGACAGAGATTTTACATCAGGTTTATATTTCGTGACCTTCAGAGATATGCACGAGCTACTACTTTCATCCGTCAGGCTACTCCTATTACGAGACTTAACAAAATTCATCACTGAGAACAAAGATTCACAAGCGTATGTGGATGAAAACATGGAGAGTAACACTGTTGCAAAGTTTTTGTCCTCAATAGTTCGTTTTCGACACTTCTCTCTGGTACTCCTGTCTCTAATCGCTTTTTTTCAATGTTTTCCAAGTCAACTCTAAGGTCAATAAATTTCTGCTTCCAAATTGAGCTACTCTGAAATTCAATCAACTGCATTTCAAAGTCAGCCATGTCTATCCATGAAAACATTTGTAAGTTTAGTTCCTCCAGTTTCATGCTGTCTGGAAACCTCATGAATTTTGCTGTCTCTTCCAGTTCTCTGAATTTCGCAAATCTTGAGAAGAACTGCTCAATAGTTGACTCGATGATGTTTAAAAACAGCTTTTGAAGGCTTTGACAGTCTGTTCTGTCATCTTTTGGGAGGTCTTTGATGTGCCTCTTGAGGTTTGGGAAATATCTAAATCTCTCACCATCCACATCCCTCTTAAAGACTTCCAGTTTCTTTTCAAAAGCCTTTAAGTAACCAAACATAGCATCAAGTGTCTTGCCAGTTCCTTGTAATTTAACATTTAAGTCATTCAAATGTTCACAAAAATCTGCAAAGAACATCAGTTTAGAAACCCACGTGGCGTCAGACAATTCTTGGTAAGAAACATGTTTTTATATGCACAAGAAATGGAATGCTGAAATTGACTTGATGGCAGAGTATCCTGTATTCTGGATAACCCCTGACAAAGTACTATGTGAATTCAGAATGTTAATATCACAAAATCATAGACGGCTGTAGTGGAAATAACCTTGAATTGTCTAGTCCAAACTTTTATAAATATTGAAATTCCCTTTTCAAAGATTTTGAATGCTTTTTGTCCTAAGAAGCTTAACCAACTTTTGAGGCAACCCATTTGGTTTTGAAAAGCTCTAACATTTAGGTGGCTTTTACTTAGGTTCAACTGAAATAACATAACTCTTGTGATTTTCTCCTAAGTCCTAGTTTCTTCAAAACTATGCAAAATAAATCTACTGCCTCTTTGATATGATAGCCTTTTAGATATTAAATGATTACAACCCTACAGGTTAATTCTTTTATCCCCTGTTCATGAGTCTCTCACATAGCACAATTTTTAGATACATGAACTATTATATATATATACACTAAAGGCCCGGTGCATGGATTTGTGCACTGGTGGGGTCCCTCAGCCTGGCCTGCACCCTCTCACAATCCAGGACCCCTCAGGGGATGTTGGAGAGCCGGTTTCAGCCCAATCCCTGCAAGCCAGGCCGAGGGACTGCACCGGTACATGAATCCATGCACAGGGCCTCTAGTATGCATATAAGATCTTTGGTTAATCTCTTCACACCTTCCTCCTCTCCTCCCTTCCCTCTGAGATTCATCAGTCTGTTCCAAGTTTCCATGCCTGTAGTTTCCGCTCCTGCATTGAGTGTCTGCCCCCTGGTGGTCAGTGCGCATCATAGCTACTGGACAGTTGACTGGTCAAATGGTCAGCCAGTCACTTAGGCTTTTATATATAGATATATAGATAGATGTGTTCCTTATTTAACCTTGATTTGTGTAAGAAATACTGATTTAAATACATTAATTTCTAATCTTGCTGCTCAAACTACAGCAGAAGACCCACATTATCATCTATGAGTTCCTACTATAGGGTGCTCCAAAATTCAAGCAAGATTTGCAATTCAATTCAATTGCAAATCTTGCGTGAATTTTGGGACACCCTATATAATGATCTCCCTAAAGAGTCTATACAGCTATAGGCTTTTGACTTTAATCCACCCCAATAAAGTAGGAATCCCAGTAACTCCCTAAACAGAAACCTTCATTTAAAGACTCCAAATCCAAACCCTAGAGCCTGGCATTCAATACCATACAAAAATTGGCTTCAAACCCTCTTTCCACATTTATCTTTCATGTATTTTTTCCACACAAAATATCCTACTCTAGCTATAATGGTCCACTTGCTGTTGTTTCAAAGTGTCTTCATATTCCCACTTTCGTTTCTTTACTAAAATGTGCCTTTCTTTTTACCTACCAAAATTCTAGGGAAGCAGTATGGGTTAAGACTGAAGGCTCTAGAATCAAGTACTTGGGTTTGAGTACTTGTTGTCTATCATCTAGGCCAGCAGTCGCCAACCTTTTGGACATTGCGGACCACCAGTGGTCCGTGGACCACTCTTGGTGACCGCTGATCTAAGCCATGTTCCTTTACCTCTCTGTGCCTGTTTCCACATACGTAAAATACTAGACGCCCGGTGCATGGATTCGTGCACCAGTGGGGTCCCTCGGCCTGGCCTGCGGGATCGGGCTGAAACCAGCTCTCTGACATCCGAGGGGTCCTGGATTGCGAGAAGGCACAGGCCAGGCCAAGGGACCCCATCGGTGCACAATCGGGGCCAAGGAAGGACACGGGAGGTTGGCCAGCTAGGGAGGGACCACAGGAGGGCTCCAGGGCGTGTCCGGCCTGTCTCGCTCAGTCCCGATTGGCCAGACCCCAGCAGCAAGCTAACCTACTGGTCGGAGCGTCTGCCCCCTGGTGGTCAGTGCACATCATAGTGACTGGTCGACCAGTCCACTGTCTGCCCCCTGGTGGTCAGTGCACATCATAGCGAGCGGTGGAGCGGCCTTAGCATATTAGCATATTACGCTTTGATTGGCTGAATGGCTGACCGGTCGACCGGACACTTAACATATTAGGCTTTTAGTATATAGGACAGTACCTATCCCATTGTGCGGTTTCATTTACAGCTTAGCAGTGTATGGCACATACGAAACGTAGCTGATTAAGCATAAGTAGCCACCCTTTCTGGCTTAAACTACCATTTTTTTTGCAAAGCCTTCCCAGAGTGTCTCAGCCTACAATGATCCATCCTCCTCTCTACTACTAAAGCAGTCTATATAGTTGGACCTTATTCTATCCAGACTGTCACTGGTATTTTCTTTACACTCAGTTCAATAAAGATAAAGACATACAGTTCTTGAAATCTCAACTGGTAAAGGGTCTGAAAATATAACACAAATGGTATAGTATGCTATTATTTCTTGCTTATAGCAATTAATTACCATCCCTAAATCATCCCCAAATTGTAATATTTTTGAAGTTTAATCTTATGGTTTATTTTTCCATTTTGTTTTTATTATTACTGTTTATGATTACCTTCTTTTCAAAAAATTTATCTTTATTGCTGAAAGTGTTACATATGACCCCTTTTCTTTTCCCATTGATACCCTGCATCCCCCCCCCCCCCCCCCCCCCCCCCCCCGCCTCACTACACTATTGTCTGTGTCCATGGCTTATGCATATATGCATATAAATTCTTTGGTTAATCTTTTCCCACACCACACCTCACCCCTGCCTTCCCTCTGAGATTCCTCAGTCTATTCCATGCTTCTGTCTCTGGACCTATTTTGTTCAGTTTATTTTGTTCATTAGATTCCACATATGAGTAAGACCGTGTGATACTTGTCTTTCTCTGACTGGCTTATTTCACTTAGAATCATATTCTACAGAGCCTTCCAAGCTGTCTCTTTTTTACAGCTGCATAGTATTCCATGGTGTAAATGTACCACAGCTTTTTTATCCATTCATCTACTGTCAGGCACTTGGGCTGTTTCCAGATCTTCGCTATTGTAAATTGTGCTGCTATGAACATAGGGATGCATATATTCTTTCTGATTGGTTTTTCAGGTTTCTTAGGATATATTCCCAGAAGTGGAATCACTGATTTCCACACTGGCTTCACCAGTCTGCATTCCCACCAGTGTGTATTAGGGTTCCCTTTTCTCCACATCCTTGCCAGCACTTTTGAACAGGCAAATAGATCAATGGAACAGAAAAAGAACCCAGAAATCAACCCAAGGCATTATGCTCAATTAATATTTGACAAAGGAGGCAAGAGCATACAATGGAATTAAAATACTCTCTTCAATAAATGGTGTTGGGAAAATTGGACAGGTACATGCAAAAAAATAAAACTAGACCACCAACTTACACCATACACAAGAATAAACTCAAAATGGATAAAAGACTTAAATGTAAGTCGTGAAACCATAAAAATCCTAGAGGAAACCATAGGCACCAAAATCTCAGACATCTCTCATAGATATGTTTGTCCATACATCTCCTAGGTCAAGGGAAACAATAAGGGAATAAACAAATGGGACTACATCAAAGTAAAAAGTGTCTGCACAGCAAAAGAAACCATAAACAAAACAACAAGAGAGCCCACTGTATTTTACCAATGATACATCTGATAAAGAGTTAATTTCCAAAATATATAAGAAACTCATACAACTTAACAAAAGGAATACAAACAATACAATTAAAAATGGGCAAAGAACCTAAACAGACACTTCTCTAAAGTGGACATACTAGTACAGATGGCCAAGAAACATGAAAAAATGCTCAAAGTCACTAATTATCAGAGAGATGCAAATTAAAATGGCAATGAAACATCACCTCACACCTGTTGAATGGCTACCGTCAACAAATCACCCAAATTATTTTTGAAAAGGAACATTAAGGTTGTATTTTTTTTTTGGGGGGGGGGGGGGGTGAGGGGAGAGACTGTAATCCAGTATCAATTTACCTTTTATACATTTTCCTCAAACTGTAGGTGAAAATGCTGGGCCATTTAAAAAAAGACAATAGTTACAGGTAAATAATGTCTTTCTTGAAAAGTGAAAAGAAGTATATTATCTTCTCTCTCTGTAATGAACTATGAAGTGAATGGGTATCTTTGGAATATACAAAAAGATAAACGACCACCCTTACCTGACTTTCACTCTGTAGTAAGTGAGATGTTTATTTCCATAATTCCTTGTAATCCGAGACATGGTAAAATATTGCATTTTACAAGGATATGGATAGGGCAGGTTTTAAACCTAAGATCCACAGGCATCCTGAACTCCATGAATGTGTATGAAAAATTAAATACCTACATATGTGCATTTTTCTGGGAAAAGGGTTCATTAGGTTTCATCAAATTCTAAAAGGAGTCCTTTTACTCTAAACAGATTAGGACTCAATGGAATAAAAGGGAATGAGAAGTCAGAAGACCCTAATCTGTGAATTAAGTACATGTTGGTGACTTCAGATATTAGAAATATTTAGAACATTACATTTGTAAACAATTACAAAATCTAAAATGTGAGCAATGAGGCAGCTGTTCAAGTCCAGCCAAAAACTAAGAAATTTAAAGACTTTTAAAATACATTCTAGGAGAGCTTTCAGTTTTAAAAGTTATTTTCTGAATCACTTTTAACAAAATTCAAGTTTTCTCTGCACTGAAGAAGTATTGGAAAGCACACAGGATGAAGTATCTGCTTATCTGTAATAACTTCAAAGAATACCACTAATAATCTATAATAATAAAAGAGTAATATGCTAATTAGACGGGACACCCGTCCTTCCAGACGAAGCCGGGGCTGCCAGGGAAGCCAGGGAAGCCCGGGTCCGGGTGCCAGAGGGAAGCCAGTGCCGGCAGCCAGGGGAAGGAAGGCCTACTCTTGCACGAATTTCATGCATCGGGCCTCTAGTGACACCAATAATAGCTAAGGCTTATTGACTTTTACTATCTGCTGGACACTGTGTGAACACTCAATATGGAATACCTCACATATTCACAGTAACATTATGAACTAGGCACTATTTTAACAGTCTTTTTACAGATGAAGAAACTTAAGCTTAAGAGTGTTTAATAACCTGTTCAAGGGCACATGGCCAGGAAATGATAGAATGGAGATTTGCAGTCAGCAGTCCAACTTCAGCATACTGACTTTAACTGTCAACACAGTTCAATTCAAACAATCTAAAAATCTTCTGAGGCTTATACCCCATTATTATTTATTATTTTTCTCCAGAGGTACTAAAAAAAAAAAGTAGTGAGAACAGGGGACTAAGCATGGGTTTACTGAGAATAGGGTATTAAGTATAGGGGTACAGGGAGCAGAGTACTAAGAACCTTGATACTCAAAACAGGATACTGACAATAGACAGGGTAGTGAAAACAGTAAGAGATTGCCTTCTCCGAAGTACCAATTTCATCTGGGTTCCTGTCTCTTTGCCTGCTCCTTTAGTGATGAACCGGATCAGTCATTTACTATCTGTCCTTCCAGTACATATCCCAGACCTTAGAAATTACATCTTTTCTGATGTGCAACATCACTTTCATTGAAATTTGTTCATCTATGAAAAGGATGCAACAGAACTATTAAGGCTTTGCACACGTTTGCATAAACTTTAAGGCAAGCACTCACTCACTCTCAAGCCTCAAGTCCAGCCACAGCAACATGGTCCATATCAGGGCCAGTGGGCAGGGGCAGGAAATGAGGTTTGCACAGAGTGGGGTTGCTTTTTCCCCCCTCCCACTCCCCAAGACCCTAGCTAAAGTCTAATACCTCCAGTTTGACGTTCCCCGCACTGCCAGCTGGGGCGGCTCCACCGCAATTCAGGGCCTGGTCACTTTTCTTCTTTTTGTACTTGTCCTTGTACATCTTGTTGCGGTGTTTCTTGCACATCCACGGCTTGCGTTGCTTGGCCACCTGGCTCGTGGTTTCGCTGCAGCCCTCGTAAGTGCAGGTCTTGCACATGCTGCCCCCGCCGCTGGCCCGCCTCCGGGCTCCCCTGCTGCCGCCCTCGCCCCCAGAGTGGGTCTCTTCGTCCTCCAGGTCCTCCAAACTAGCCGTGCTCTCGCCTCCCGCCGGAGGGTCCGAAGTGTCCAGCAGGTCGGCTTCGTCCTCCCCCGCTTCCTCCTCTCCATCCCCCGCCGCTTCACAAGGATACCTAACAGGCTTGCCCGCCCCGGCACTGCCCCCCAGGGCAGGAGCCTGCCTCAGGACGCTGTCGGCCGCAGCTTCCTCCTGCCTTCCGCAGGGACGCATCACCAGGAAGGTGAGCTGCGAGGCCCCAGCCTGGCCTTGGGCTGGAGCCAGGGCCGGG